TAGCTATAACCAGGCTAAAGTGTACTTTGTTGTCATCACTTATGAACCTAATGTAGGAACATGTTCCATAGCCTATGTTACTAGCATCAGAGAAGGGATGCAGTTCCACCTTAACAATGTCTTTTAATTCAGGTGGATGGTAACATCTGGGTATTACGACTGATTTCAGTTTTTCCAAACCATTTTTCCAGTCCTCCCATCGAGAGCGCAGGTAGTCGGGAATGGGGTCATCCCATTCGGTACCTCTACGGCAGAGCTCCTGTAGGATACTTTTGCCACTCAAAGTGAATGGAGTTACAAAGCCAAGTGGGTCGTACAAAGATGAGATAACTGACAGTAGACTCCGGCGTGTAGGAGGGTGGTTGTTTGTGTTTACACTGAAATTGAAGGTGTCGTTTTTGACTGACCACTGGATTCCAAGCACATGACCTTCAGGTGTAGTATCGGGTTTGAGGTCGAGTGACTCTGTTATACTGGCTCTTTCTTAGGGTGGAACATGAGAGAGAGCATCACTTTGGTTGGAATTAAACTTGTGCAGACGTAAACCTGCAAGTTTGCAAAGGGCTTGTGTGTCATTGATGAGCTCTTGAGCCTCTTTGACTGATGGGACACTTGTCAACCCATCGTCTACATAAAAGCTCCTTTCAACAAAGTTGGAGGCTTTCGGGTAGTCGGATCTGTGCTGTTGTGCTAAGTACTTAAGGCCAAAATTAGCACATCCGGGGGAAGATCCAGCACCAAACAAATGCACAGCCATTCTGTACTCTTTGGGCTCTATGTCTAGTTGTCCATCTGGCCACCATAGAAATCGTAAGTAGTTACACATCTCTGGGCAGACAAAGAACTGATGGAACATTCGTTCAATGTCGCAGATGATGGCTACATTCTCCCTTCTGAAACGACAGAGCACTCCCACCAGTGAATTAATCATATCAGGACCTGTGAGAAGAGTATCGTTCAGTGAGACGCCAAGAAACTTAGCAGAACAATCAAAGACAACTCTTAATTTTGTTGGCTTATTAGGGTGGTACACCCCATGGTGTGGGATGTACCAAGCGATCTCATCATCAGCCACAGGAGGGACTAGTTCTGCATCACCACTGCTGATAATGTCTCTCATAAAGGCGTTGTAATGCTTGTGATACTGTTTGTCGGCTTTTAGCCTTTTCTTTAGGTGTTGCAGTTGAACTGTGGCTAGCCTCTTATTGTTGGGAAGGGCTGGTGGCTTGCTGTCTTTGAAGGGAATGGGCATCTGATAGTGTTCATCTTCTCTCTGCTTTATTGTGTCACTGAGGAGTTGTAAAAAACAAACATCGTCCTGGGATACGTACTTATCCTCATAGTTTCTCTCATTGAAGTCTGACTCTAAGACTTTAAGCACATTAGCAGCCGAGGGTGTGGGCATTTCTGTGACATTGATACGGTGTACATAACTCTGATTTCCCTCTCTGTCTAAGTGGGGACTACCAAACCCAATGATACTCCAACCAAGTATGGTTCTTTGTGCGAAAGGCTCGTTTAATTGTCCTGTGACAATTTCTAGAGGGGCTAGTGCTGATGGACAGTCATAACCGATTAGCAAGCCCACTTCACAATCTTGTAGTGGCAAGGTGTGGCCACTGAAGCACAGTTTCTCTAGTGGGAATATGGGACTTATCAACTGGGATAAAGTCACGAGAGTAGGCTTGTTTTATTTTGACATGTGCATCAGTGTCAAAGCTACGCACTTGTAGGTTGCTGGCAAGTCTACTCGCCACAACTGTGTCAACAGAGGTCATTGTGCTGAGTTTTAACTGCACTGGTTGCTTATCCACATTCAGCTCAGAGGCCAAGTCTCCTAAAATGAAGGAAGAGTCACTTTGGGTGTCAAGCAGGGCATATGTGAGTATTTCTTTCTGTGGCTCTGATGCAGCTGACACAAAAACTGGTACTATGCTGGATGTTGCAGATGTTTTTCTCTCAAGTACATGGGTCATAACTTTATGCACTTCATTGTTTCCATTCTCAGCTGGGGGAACAGAGTCCTCAGTTCTCCTTTCTTTGGGTTCCTTTACTCCATCCGTGTGGAGACAGGTGGGGTGACGTCAACCACACTTACTGCAGGAGTGACGTCCTTTGCATTCTTTAGTTACATGGCCTTTTCTCAGTCATCCAAAGCACAGGTGATTTTCATAAATGAAAACTTTCTTTTCATCACTGGTTTTTGCTGCAAATGTAGGCCACTTAGCTACACCATGCAATTCGTCCTTGCAAAACAAACAAGGTGGTTTAGGAGCGACCACTGTGGGGAAGGGAGACTTTGTCTGGACAGTTGTAGTAAGTGCTTTAGCTCTTCTAATGTGTCTCTCCTCTGTTTTTCACTCATTAGGAATGGTGAGGTGACAGTGTGACAAGCAACTTTAGCTTCCTTTTGTAAGAACTGCGTGAAGTGAGCAAAGCTGGGGTACTCCTGGTGTTTGTCTAGCTCTTCCACAACAATGCCACTCCATCTCTGTATTATCCAGTCAGGCAGTGTTTTGAGAAGCTTGTGATTTTCCTCACAATCGTTCAGGATTTCTAGGCCCTTGACTTGGGGAATAGCCTCTGCACAGCTCTGAAGAAAGTCCGCAAACTCTCTCAATGCTAAAGGATCGTTAGCAGCTATTTTGGGCCATTTTGTAAGCTTGGTTCTAAATGCTCTTTGGACAATGAATGGGCTGCCATACCTTTCTTGCAGAACATTCCAGATGCCCTGGTATGCCTCTTCAGTGTTGCGATAAAAATATCCCTCTACTGCCTTTTGAGCTTCACCTGCAATATAACTCTTCAGATTCAATATTTTCTCACATGCAGGTAAGGGTTTGTTGCCAATTAGCGCCATAAAGGATACTTTCCCGTCAACAAACTTTAGAGGGTCCCCACTAAAGATAGCTGGCTCAGGTACAGGAAGTCGGCTTAAGGTGAGGGAGTTTGCTAGAGCTTCAGCTAAGCTAAGTTCTCCTCGTTCTGCACCGGTGTGGTGATGCTTGAACAATGGAGCCAACAGATTTAAGGAGGGCTGTGGTACACTGATAAGAGTCGTTTAAAGCGTTCTCAAAGTTGTGGCAGGATGCTAGGTCACAGCTTTCAACATCATTTAAAGTGCTTAAAGCTCTTACACATGCTGCTGCTATTCTTACTTCACTTTCTGCCTTTAAATGCTGAAGTTTGATTTTTTTTCCTGCTCAAGCCTTGCCTTTGTTTCCACTTCTTCTTGTTTTAACTTTGCCAGTGCTTCATTTTCCTTTAACTTCCATTCATTCTCCATTTGGTTGACTTTAGTTTGCTGTGCAAGTATTTCTTGCATGGTCTTTGCTTGTTCTATTTTAGCTGCAAATTCAGCTTCTGCTTCACGACTGCTTGAAGAATCTGTCTTTGAGCGTGCAACTGAACCGTCTGGGAACGATGTTTCAGTTTTTGTATCTCCAAACACAGAGCCATAGTCATTTTTGTTTAGCATCAACCTTACTCTTTCCTTTTCAAGACTATCGTTAAAAGGTTGATCAATATTTTCTTGTCGTTTAGCAATAATCTCACAAATGTCTGTTGTAAGCACAGTACAGGCATCCATTCTTTTCACTATGTTTGGGGTCATGTTTTGGTTGTGGAGAATGGGTTCATAATGTTGTTGTACAACCACATGCCCTTATGTCATGGCTTGCACTGTTTAAATCTCCAGGTGAGCAGAAAGCCTTCAGCTTTGTTCTGGTTTATTTAGCTGACTCCTTTCAAGAGTTATATGCTCTGTTAAATGCTCGTTCATGTTTTTTCGCATCCTGTTCATGCATTTCTTTGCCCTTCTCGGTTAGGCGTCTTTCACGATTGCTGGATCTCACCTCTTGTTGTTCTGCGTGGTCAGGTTCTTCAGCAGGGTGCAACATTTTGTTCTTTTAATTTGTGTGTTTGCTCTTTGTAGTAATGTCTGGACTTAAATTTGAATATGTGTTGCTTTAACTTTAAGACTGTGTGGGAAACAACACTCAGATCAGACATTTAAACCATGTAGGTAAACAATTTAGCATCCACACATATAACAAATATGACTGTAAATACTGCTGATATACCACAAATTATTTAGAGAATAAGTAACCCATACAATTTAAGAAATAGCGTTTGCTTAATGCACTACTACTGTAGCTTCAAGACATTAAAACCACGACTGCATTTAAGGCTTCAAACTCTTAATTACTGTGCAGGTAATTTGATCCTTTTATCAGCAAAGTCCTTATTGAGTAAAATACCTGAACCTTTATGAATAACTGAGTCAGTGTCCAATACGAAGAGCCGTGATGAAGTGGCAATGATTTTTGACAGGAGTAGAGTCTCTCTCGGCTGGTGCAGGCCTCGCTCGACTGACACGTGGTTTGCACTCGTCTAATATGGGACCGTCTTTCACTCAGCGTCGAGTTTTCACTGTAGCAGTCCCTTAGTCCCAAAAAAGCACGGAGAGCTTCGACGGGTGCAGTAGATTCTTATTTACTTCTTTCGAAACAAAGTTTGTTGAAGTGTTCCAAATACACCGTGAAAACTAAAATAAAATAAAATATATTTGCTTAAGTGCCTTTGTTTGACACAAAACATGAATACACTATATAAATGCTAACTTCACAAACTAATACAGCTCTAAACATGTACCTCGCTCCGCTGTCCAAGGGCTGCAAAGTTTATGGCGGTAAAGTCCAAGTTGTCCTGCTAGGAAGCCTTTAACCTGTTCTCAAGAAGGCGTGCTACAGTCCAGAGTCATCAAGATGAAGAATATCCTCCTCTACCTCTTGTCCGTGGGATATTTCAGCCCAAAGTGCTGACTGACAGGAGACTAGCAACACTTCCTCTTATTTTTTGGTTTAAATGAAAGTACTAACTCAATATGAACCAAACTACAGCACCCCCTACTGGGTACTATGGGTAACAACCCACAGTCAGCATATATAAACATGGAACGGACATTTACACAAAGACACACACACACACAAAGACTTTACCTTGTCTCTCTAAAGTGCTTTCGTTTGTTTGTGTCATTGCAACAGCTGCACAAACGTGCACATTTCATGCCCATCAGCTGGTAGATGAGGGGGTTGTACATGGCTGAGGACTTGGCCAGCAACGTAGGAACAACAGATATTGGGATGGGGACAGAGTCTGGCTCTCCGAACGCTGACACCACTGAAACCACTGCATAAGGGATCCAAGCTATCAAGAAGCCTGCACAGATGAGCATGGCTACCTGGGAGACATTAGAAAACAGTCAGATCAATGGTCACTATCATTTTTATGAGCAGCTCTGATCTATCTTTGTGCAGTGTCTACAGTCATTTTAATTTTCCCATGTTCACAACTTCTCTCCAGTGTCTAACTTACTTTTGTCAGTTTGATCTCAAGGCTGTGGTTGTTTTTGATGCGGGCATCATAGTGCGATACCTCCTTAGAAGAAGACTTGACCTTGTAGATGATCATGACATAGGAGAAAACAATGATTCCAGCAGGGAAAATGAGACAGAAGAAAAGCATGGTCATGACGAAGCTCTGACCAGAAACAGAGGCTTGTGCGAGCCACCAGTCCAACGTGCAGGAGGTTCCGAACGGCTCCGGGGCATAATTCCCCCAGCCAACCAGGGGCATAGTGGCCCAAAATGATGCATACAGCCAAACAAAGGCCAGGCATATGAAGGTGTGGTGGCGTTTTAACCATGTGCCTAGAAGTGAAGTAGAAAAAAATAGACGAAACATTAGCTTTAACACAGCAAAACTAGATAACCTAAAATGTCTTGACTAAATATCCATCCATCCATTTTCTTTACCCGTTTATTCCATTTTGGGTCACGAGGGTTGCCGGTGCCCATGTCCAGCAATCACTGTGCGAGGGGCGGGGTACACCCTGGACAGGTTGCAAGTCCATCACAGGGCCACATAGAGACAAACGAGACAAACAACCATTCACTCGCTCACTCACACCTAGGGACAATTTAGAGTTACCAATCAGCCTAACATGCATGTTTTTGGACTGTGGGAGGAAACCGGAGTACCCGGAGAAAACCCACGCATGCACGGAGAGAACATGCAAACTCCACCCAGAAAGGCCCCCGGACCGGCGTTTGAACCAGGGACCTGCTTGCTGAGAGGCAGCAGCTCTACCAGTTGGGCCACCGTGCTGCCCACTTGACTAAATAAGTGAATCACAAAATCAGAACTGTCTTCAGTTCAAACACTGACTATTTTAGATGAAGAGGATTGGTCTGTCTGTATTTTGCCACACTGTTTAACTGATGAACATGATTAGCATTAAGAGGTGTTACAGCAATTTTCCACAAAGTAAAACAAATCAAATTTAAAGTGAATATAATGTTAAAAAAACAATGATTTTGAGTTTTCATTGCCGTTGCTTCAAAAACTTGTGTTTTTAGACACCAATGCTGTTGTTAACTGAAGCTAAAATCAATTTTAACACAAGTTTAGGCATTAATGTTGTGATTTTAGCACCAACAGTAAGTTTCAGGCTTACAGCCAACATGGTCACACACAGGTCAAACAGAATTCAGTGCACTGACATACTGTCTAGCAAATAACCCTTAAAATGGTTATTTGGTCGTTTTGAAGTGGGTTTTTGTGTAAAAGTTATGAATAATATCATACTGTCATTTGCTGGTAGCTTATTAAAAGGCTTCAGTTTAAAGGTTTAAAGAGTTTATTACATGTCAGAGCTGATGAGCTAACGACTAGTCTGAGCACAGCCATAATAGATCTCTGATGTCCTGATCTTAAAAAAGTTATACTGGTTCATGCCAATACTATTTAACAGACATTTTACACCCCTATTGATTTCTCAACATGTGGTTATTTAAACAATACTGAGATCATCTGCAATCTGAAATAAAGGAAACAAAATGGACTTTGGATGAAGCCTGGAGTCACGTCCAGCAGGAACTGCATCATATTTATCCAGATAAACTTGGGAATGCAATATTGACACATAAAGATTTATAGTAAATTTGTGTAAATTGAATTTAACTGTTTATTTATGTGTTGACAAATCACAAAAAAAAATCATTCCAGGGCATTGTATTAAAATATTCACATACTTTAATGCCACTTAATAAAAATTATCTAAGGAAGTAAGCAAATTGATAACAATTTAATCATTCCCCATCCCGAGCAACATATTGGCAAGTCAAAAGGAACGATTCACTTTTAACAGGAAGAAACCTCCTGTAGAACCATGCCATTAAATTAAAAAATTCTAGTTGTTTTAAGACAGCAACATGATTTGAACTTGGAACTTGGGCAAGTCATTAATAGTCAGAGTCAGAGAGAGTCAGAGATTCTTTATTGTCATTCGCACCTCATGTGGTACATGTGGTGGAGCGAAATTATGTACACAGGGTCCCAGTTACTTCCAACAATAAAATGTATAAGAAAAACAGTAATAACATCTAAGATATGAACTAAGAAAAACATCAACTAAATATACACTAAGCACTCATAACATAAAACATTAAACATCAGCACAAACATGAACATGAGTCTGTGAGCAGATGTGCACGCATGAACACATCAACATTGAAACAGATCAGCAGCAACATGAAACAGATCAGCAGCAACATGATGTGATTTTTCACAGTGATTATTCTGATTAGAGATTCATGAGTCTAACAGCCTCAGGGTAGAAGCTGTTTCTCAGTCTAGTGGTTCTACACTTAATGCTTCTCAACCTTGTTCCTGAGGAGAGTGGGGCAAAATTGTGTGTGCTGGGTGAGTGAGGTCCTTCATGATGCAGGTAGCCCTGTTCCTGCATCTGGAGGTGTAGATGTCTGTGATGGTGGGGAGGCTGACTCCAACAGACTTCTGTGCAGCCTTCACCACTCTCTGCAAAGCTTTTCTTTCTGCAGCTGTGCAGCCTCCATGCCACACATTGATGCTCGAGCACAGGATGCTCTCCACTGCACACCTGTAGAAGGAGGTGAGGACTGAGCTTCCCAGACCAGCTTGCCTCAGCCGTCTGAGGAAGTAGAGTCTCTGATGAGCTTTCTTGATCAGGCTGGTGGTGTTGTTGCTCCAGCTGAGGTTGTCATTCATGTGTACACCCAAGTACTTGTAGCTGGAGACCACTTCCACCACAGATCCTCTTATGTTCAGGGGGGTGTAGATGTTTTTGTTCCTTCTGAAGTCCACAATCATCTCCTTTGTCTTCTTCACATTGATGTGAAGGTTATTCTCTTTGCACCAGCTCTCCAGGTGTTCCACCTCTTTCCTGTAGCTGGACTCATCATTGTTTGTGATGCATCCCACCATCGCTGTATCATCTGCAAACTTTACAATGTGACAGCCTGAATGGGTAGCTGCACAATCATACGTGAACAGAGTAAACAGGAAGGGGCTCAGCACACATCCCTGTGGAGAGCCAGTGCTGAGGGTTATGGTGGAGGAGGAGAAGTTGTGGATCCTCACTAACTGTGGTCTGTTTGTTAAGAAGTCTAGTACCCAGTTGCAAATCAGGGGGCTTAGTCCTAGTGTGGATAGTTTGTCCATCAGGGTTTGGGGGATCATGGTGTTGAAGGCGGATGTGAAGTCCACAAAGAGCATACGGACGTAAGAGTTTTTCTTCTCCAGGTGGTTGAGCGCAGTGTGGACCACAGAGGAGATGGCATCCTCTGTTGATCGGTTCTCACGGTATGCATACTGATGAGGGTCCTTCCTCGTTGATGTTGATGGTTGTTCTGATGTGGGTCATGACCAGTTTTTCGAAGCATTTAGCGACTATCGGGGTGAGGGCCACTGACCGATAGTCATTCAGACCAGTCACTGTAGAGCTTTTTGGGACTGGGATGATGGTGGAAGAACAAACAAAACAAAAAAAAAAAAAATCAAATATACAGTATATCGAGAAACTGCCAGCAGAAAAAATGTCTATTAACTTTCACATCAAGTGCTATAAAACCTTGGATATATAAGTCATTTCAAAATGGCAGAAAAACACTAAATTCAACTTTAGCTTGTCAGTTCTGTTAGACCTAAACTCTTTCCTGTCTGTGTCATATTTATAGAGTTTTAGTTTCAGGGTTAAAAGACCAAAAAAGAGAGAAACTGGTAAGAAATTAAAAGATATTTTATTTTGAAAGGGACAGGAAAGGAAGGCAGGGGAGCATCTGCAGACAAAATCCAAGAAGTCGTGAAAAAAATTCCAATTAAATATAAGAATGATTTGTTTTCAGATTAATGAAATATCCTTTTACTGACTTTCTTTTTTCATGTTCCCAGGTCCTGGAGGAGGATGTGGAGGATTCTGAAGATTACAAGCAGGTGAGTATGGAAGCAGGTGAGTGTGGAAGCAGGTGAGTGTGGAAGCAGGTGAGTATGGAAGCAGGTGAGTATGGAAGCAGGTGAGTATGGAAGCAGGTGAGTGTGGGAGCAGGTGAGTATGGAAGCAGGTGAGTATGGAAGCATGTGAGTATGGAAGCAGGTGAGTATGGAAGCAGGTGAGTATGGAAGCAGGTGAGTATGGGAGCAGGTGAGTATGGAAGCAGGTGAGTATGGAAGCATGTGAGTATGGAAGCAGGTGAGTGTGGGAGCTAGCAGGATAGGCAGGTGGCAGGTTAAAGATGACACTGACCTCTCCTGTGTCTTTACAGGAAGACGGCCTGGAGCTGGATAAAAGCCAGGATGTCATCATGACATTCACTGAGGATCCAGGAGGGCATCGCCCAACAAGACAAATGCCAGAAGGAGCACAAGGAGAGCTGAAGGTAGCTACAGGTAAGTATTAACAGAGATCCCTCAAATTCACATTTGGGATATTACTCAAAGAGGTAAGAAGCTCGTAGCATTCACTGTGTCAGGACAAACGAAGCAGCAAACAATGGTTCTGCTCAGCCTTCAATGCCCTGATAATCAGCTCCTGATGACTCAGCTGAGAGCAAAACGTTCTCCAAGCTCAAACACAAATTAAACATCTTAAAGGACAAAAACAACAAAACGGAGCAGTCTTCACAAACAAGGTTGTTCAAGAGCCAGTTACAACCTGTAATATCCTAACTGTTCATAACTTTTACGCTGAAACCCACTTCAACATTAGACCAAACAATGTTGTTGTTGTTGTTCTTTACTGGAAAGTCAGAACACGTTCATTAGGCTCTATTTTCGAGTCTTTTTTTTCATACAACTGATGAAGAAAAAAATATATACGTATAACTTTCATGACACACTGTACCGTATTTAAGATGGCAGATCTTGAGGTACCGGTCAAGGCTCACCACGGTCATGGTGATGAGGCTCCCACAGCCAAAGAAGAAACCTGTCCAGCCATAGAATCGACAGCCGATCCAGCCGAACAACCAGCGATGGTAAAAACTGGATACAATGAAAAAGGGCTTTCCTGTCACTAAACAGTAGACAGGAAAAGGAAAGATGGATGATGAGGAAGACAAAGATGACAAAGAACAAAGATGGAGAAAAGGAAGGGACAAAAAGAGACAAAAATTGAGAAACAGACAGAGAGAAGTTCAATAGTGTTAGTGGGACGGGAGAAAGAAGGGTATCATCCACATAACATAAACGTAAATGCTGTTTTCATTGGAGACATTACCTACAGTATATTGGTTTCTTCGCAAATGTTGTATAGTTAAAATTCCTGAGAGTAACTGAATCTGACAGTATCAAATTACAAACTAACTCCAAAAAACAAAACTTATATAAATTGTAATTAAAGACTAAATGCAATACAATTTTATCAACAATGAAACATTGTAAACATATCAGTTGTTTAAACAGATAAATTGTAAAATATGTTGAAAAATGTAAGGTAATTTGTCATTTTATTTTACAGCAACACATTTCAGGAAATATGCGACAGGGGCATATTTATCACGGTGAAGCATCCATTGTCCTTTGAACAACTGTCTGTGAAAATCTAGAAATTAGTTGGAGTTTTTGGAGGAAGATGTCTCGTTCTTGTCTGGTGTAGTATTCTAGTCATTCAGTGTTCCTAGGTCTGCTTTGCTGGATGGGAGCAGATGTTCTAAAACCAGTATATCCCTTTCTGCATTGATTGTGCCTTTCCAGATGTGTAAGCGGCCCATGTCACGAGGACTAATGCACCCCAATACCTTCAGAGAGGCAGGGGTATGAGCTGTGTACTTACAACAGCCCAGAGGGTCCCCCTCCTTTTTAGCACTGAGATGATGAGAGCACATCATGATGAGAGCTGGAATTATCTCCCTGCAGTTTTAAGATATAGTCTTAGTGTTAATAATAATAATAATAATGTCATCACAATGTCAGCACTGTATGTTTCCATACAATGGCGAAATTAGTCTCTGCATTTAACCCATCCACCACCAGGTGGTGCAGTGGGCAGCTATTGAAAGCGCCCGGGGGACATTTTGGGAATTAGACGTGCTGCCCAGAGACGCCACGTGATGTGCAGTGACTGGGGATCGAACCTGGGACTCTCGGGTCCCAAGCCGGCTGCCCTGCCTCTACACCATCTCGGCCCCAATATAAATTAAAGAAATGCAGATTAAAATTGGTAATTTTATGTTTTCAAAAGAGTAAATATTTACTTCACCGGTGCCCGTCCCTTTAAAAATTACTGGTTAAACAAAGATTATGTTTGAGGATTATTTAATTGATGTGGTTTGTATATCTTGAACAATATTAACACTTCACAGGTCTCTGGAGCGATGCTGAACTAAAATAACTACTGTGAATGCTTTTTAGAGACTGTTAACTATAAAGTTCTGCAGCAGGGATGGATGGCTGTATGTAACCCCCCCCCCCCCCCCCCCCATTTTTCTCTCTACAGGAGATACCAGAAAGAGAATTGAGAACCTAAACTGGGCAGATGGAACAACAGCGAGGTATCAGTGTTATGGATGACTGAATACAAGTAAATATCGATAATCAGGAAAGACGCAATTCATGATTTTAAGTAAAGACTATTGATTTTACTATAATGTAGATAAGCTAAATTAGATGTTGTTTTGGATGATACATTAGGCTGGAATATTGTATATAATATAAGGAGCAAAAACTTTACTAGATATTTGACTTCTAAATCACTTAAAATGTTCAGTGACAGAGTTACAGACAGATTAAATCAAATCTATAGATGTGTTTTCATCTCAGGTAAGATTTTTACAAATGCTAACAGAGTTGGAATACACTATTTATTACTTCAATCAACCTTTATTTATACAGGTAAATCCCATTGAGCCTCGAGGACTCATTTACAAGAGATACCTGATTTCAACAAAGAAAGATGACAACAATGGACAACAGCAACAACAATAAACAGTTATAAAAAAGCATACTACAGTTTTTTTTTTTTTTTTTAACAAATAGGATAGCTAAAAGGAAAAGGTAACAAAACAAAAAACAGCTAGATTCCAAGACAAATGTAGAAAACTAACAACAGGAACATGTCTGCATTGGACCCTGCCAGGTGTCCAACAGATTCTTAAAGACACTTAGAGAGGTCAAGGTTGAGAGCTTCAAATCTTTTTGTAAGATATTCCAGGAAACAGGAGCGGAGTAGGAGAAGGCCCTTTTGCCTAGTTCAGTCCTCACTGAGGGAACACTGCAGGTAATAATGTCCTGAGAGCGCACTCCGTAGCTGCACTCACACAGAGACATGTAGGAGGAGATGTATGAAGGCAGCAGACCAAGAAGTGATTTAAAGATGAAAATATACCAGTGAGAGAGTGAGAGAGTGCTTATTTTTAATTATTCTTTAACGGATACAAACAGAAAATATATAATAATGAATTTTAACAACTATTAACATGATTTAAGACATAGCATTTTTAGAGTAATGTTGCATGAATCAATTTATCAATGACTTGTGAAATTTGGTGCATGGAGAAAAGAGAAAAATAATAAGTGTTGCTGATAAAATGCTAAATGTGATGACTCAATTCAGACAAACTTGACAGGTATAGGATGATGGGTAGAAGAATGGACTCTGTCTGGCCGGTCGCAGGGTGTTTGTGCTGTTTGTGTCTCTTATCACCTGTTCAGGTTATCTAAGCTGAAGAAGCTCCAGGAAGGTGAACACAGGGGCCACCTGTGTGAGATTGTGATCAACGTTCCCAGAGAGGTGTCAGATGAGTATGAACCTGCAATATGAACCATTGACTTACCAATAATCCATCCATCCATTTTCTTTACCAGTTTATTCCATTTTGGGTCACGGGGGTCGCCGGTGCCCATGTCCCGCAATCACTGTGCGAGGGGCGGGGTGCACCCTGGACGGGTCACAAGTCCATCACAGGGACACATAGAGACAAACGAAACAAACAACCATTCACTCTCTCACTCACACCTAGGGACAATTTAGAGTTACCAATCAGCCTAACGTGCATGTTTTTGGTTTGTGGGAGGAAACCGGAGTACCCGGAGAAAACCCACGCATGCACGGAGAGAACATGCAAACTCCACCCAGAAAGGCCCCTGGACCGGGGTTTGAACCAAGGACCTGCTCACTGAGAGGCAGCAGCTCTACCAGTTGCGCCACCGTGCTGCCTCGACTTACCAATAATGAATGATAATTGATAATTATATATTGATAATGATAATTATATAAATTTAGATAGATGACTGATGGAGTTTTGTGATATTGTGGGAGAAGGATGTTTGTTCTTTTTTCCCTGATAATGCAGCTTCAAACGAGTCACTGACAGAGAGGTTGCGAGTCCAATGACAGAGGTTTGAAGGATGGAGGCCGGACAGATGTCCGAGGAAATGCCCCTGATGAGGGGGAATGGAGTGATTTTTATTAAGCTATGAGTTAATAAAAGATAATTGCTAGACTAGAGTTTTTGGATTTTTACATGTTCTGAAATGATTATAAAACACTGTTTTGACATTACAAATATTTATAGGCTGTGTTTACAATGCTAATCAATTAATGATGTGATTATATCTAAAGCTAAGTCTTGGGGATTTTTGAATGATAAATTTGAACAAATATTATTATGGATAAAAAGCACTATTTTGAAAGTAGAGCTACAAATTTCCTATCTGTTAATTAATTCCAAAACTAATTAGTTGAATGTGGGAAAAGAAAATTACAATTTTTATTTGAAACTAAAAGGCTTTTTTAGAGTGAACTTCTTGGTGTTATAACTAAGTGGACCTTCCTAGGAGTGTGTTATAACCTAACAGGAAGGAAGCCAAAAACACAGGAGGAATTTAACAAATAAGAAGCTAAGTTGTGGGTAAATTTTAACAATTAAGTACAGATGTGTACTTTAGGATTGTGGTTGATTTGAATGTTGAACTTAACATTAATTGGGTGACAGGTCTTCTCAAACTACTTTGAGAGATGAGATGATTGATGGACCGACTAATTACGGAGTGGGTTAAATATTAACGTTTATAGTTTATGTACAGTATTTTTGAGTGTTATGGTAATTTTTTTCCTTTAAATGAACATGGTTGAACAAGATACTTTTTGCATGGTACTTAGCTAAATATTACCCTTTTAATGATTACTTGATGATTTGTGAAGACATGAATAAGAATGTGTTTTTTAATGTTTGTTTGTAAGTAGTTTCGAGAGAAGATCATGATGAAGTAACACAACTAGGTGGTGCAATTATGATGATAAACTTAATTTTTGATATTGTTTTCTATGAAATAATGATTTTTTTTTACAGCTGGTCCATGATGAGGGACCAGAGGATTTTGATAAATACATAAAATGGGGTTTTATAATATAAATTTTCCAGGGGGTGAACTTATGACATTTTTCAATTTAAATTTGGATTAAATTGAAGGGTGGTGGAATGGGTGAATTGCTTTGCTGGTTTATTGGTAATGTTTTTATATTAGATCACCAGGGGGAGTTGGGAGGTTCTGTTATTTACATACAATATGCACAATAAAACATGTTAATTGTTTAAATCAGATTTTATTCACACAAACACATTCTTCTGACAGGCTAAAAATACCGGCAGCGCTCTGTGCAAATAAACTGGGTACTGCATGACTGAAGGGGAAGGGGGCACAGAGTTTTTTCTTTTCCTCTTCCAGATGGACAAAATGGACCATGCCTGCTCTTGGAGTCAAAAAGAGAAGTTCAGGTTCTACAAAACTGATTAACAACTATTAGATATCTAAAAAAGTTAAATCTGGTCCTCTGGACATTCAAAAAAAACAACAACAAAAAAACAACGCAAAACAACAAATAATGTAGAAACGTTTCGTCTCTCGTCCAAGAGACTTCCTCAGTCTGAGGTGCTGTATTCAGCTCAGTCTCTTAAATAGCACCTTCTCAGAGTGGATCAACCAGTTTTGCTGCTGACAACCAAAACCAGCTGATCACATGCTCAAGAAGGACCATCAGCCTAACAATGGATCATTAGCATTAGGTGGTCAGTT